GAGTACAACAGCTTGCAACCAAACCCATAATCCACAAATGACAGTAAGTTTCAACACAGTCCTCCCATTTTTAAGGATTTACTTGACAAAGTAGCATTATTTAAATATGGCTGCCACATTTGCTTTATATCCAATGCCTTCTTCATACAGGAAAGGATTTTGTTTGTTTATTCATTACAATAGAATTTTTTTTTTTTGTGGTTTATACATACAAAAGCTGAAATAGACTAATTCTAAAATGCAAAGTGTTTGTTTTGTCTGCTTTGTGCCAGAAGTTCAGGGTCATCCAGAACATATACAGCAGTTCTGGAGCAAAGGTGAAGAGCTGGCATGCACAATAAAGGTAGCACGATATCAGATGACAGAACTCATGCACTTTTTTTAAGATTATGTCCCATTAACATTTAATATCAGCAATAATCAGACAAGCATACTTAGCTTCATCAGACTAAAAAACTGTGTTTTTAGAGCGTCAGATTGTCAAACTTAATTATAAAATGGATTGTTGTGGACCGTATGCTAATGATTTATAGTATCAAAACAATATATTCACATCATTAATTGGATACATTTCATTTTGGCATCAGTCGGTAGCCCTTAACTGAATTATCTAAGGCACTGATATTCATGAATTTTCATATTTTCCCACAAATAGTAACTTTCCAGTACCAATTACTAAAAGTCAACGTTCATCTTTCATCTCAGCCCTTGCTAGAGGCTTCTCACGTGAGAGATGTATTCTTTCTTTGAGGAAAGGCAGACTTGATTGACATCCTACTACAAAGCTGACATGCCTGATCAGCGTAGTTCCTCATTCAGACGAATCTCATTCACTTTAAAGGGGTCATATGATGCGATTTCATGTTTTCCTTTCTCTTTGGAGTGTTACAAGCTGTTCGTGAATAGATAAGATCCCTAAAGTTGCAAAGACTAAAGTCTCAAACCCAAAGAGATATTCTTTATCAAAGTTAAGACTGGTCCACGCCCTCCTAAAACGCCTCGTTCTAACACACCCCCACATGTCTACCTCACTGTGTGGGAAGATTTGCATAACGCCGCCCAAATGTTCACGCAAAGAAAGAAGGCGTAACTTATTTTTGCTGTAGTATTGTTGCTGCCGCCGCCATGTCATGAAGACGCTGTGTGTTTCGTTGTGAAAGCGAAA